CTGTCACAGACAATGTTTCTTCCCTTTCTTCCAAAATAAAATCCCTATAGTGCCTCGAACCTGTTGGCTCAGTTTTTTTTTAGCTGAAATTTTCAGTCGACTCACAAATTTCTCTTTGGTTCATTTCACTAACTGCATACTCTCTCCATTTTTAGAGGTTTTATGGTTTTTTTTTTCTGCTTGGCTGTTGGGTTTACCTGTGCAGTCTGGTAAGTATATTACCTAATACTACAATTTCAGTCTTTTGCTTTCCTTCCTATTCTAGTTTTGGTGGCTACTTAAACTGCAAATATTTCTTTAGGATCATCTACTCTAAATTTAAAAAAAATTGTATGTAAAATGAGTGCAAGCTCAAGTATGTAATAATGTAAACAAACCTAATTGAGCTGAGCTCAGTAGTTCTGTTTATCTTTAGCAGAGTTGGATCAGAAAAATGGTATTTGATTGAACTCGAGTTCACTATCGCTTGAGGTTCAAATCCTGGAAGTTTCTACTACTAGAGATGGCATGGCAGCTTTAAGATATTGTTATCTTTTAGCAGAATTCGAATCAGACTAATTTGAATGATAAATTAATCCAGTTATTATAAACTTATAATTTGAATATATATCCAAATCTGGATCAAATTACTAAACAAACTGATCTCTAAGATATGTATCAGATTACACTATACTGTCAAGTAAAAAGGGGGGGAAAGGTCTACTGTCCAGGACTCTTGTTTCAATTAACATAATCCAAACGGAACCTTAACTCACGGCAGTCTTAGCAAACAGGGAACAGAAGTAACTGAAAAAATACGCCAAAATTGAAGGGAAAGGAAAATTGAAGAACGTAAAAGCCACATATCGAAAATTCGAAATTACCTGTCGTTTTGAATGGCAGCGATCGGGTGATAATTTGACGGAGGAGGAAGCTTCGAGATAAAAGCGGTGAAGAGAAATCCGAGCAACAGAAGGGATCCGAATCCCACCAACAACCATCCCCACGTCGTCGTCTTTGACCTAATATTGCCATCCTCAGATCACCATTGATCATTCTATAAAGGTATTTTCAGATCTGAGAAAGATAACAGATTCCAAAACGTATGAATGGTAAAAGCCCGGATTGAGGAAGGGCCAAAATCATAGTTTTTTGAGTTAATTACATGGTTATGTTTTGTCTACTTTGGTTAATAATTTCAAAAAACATAAAAAATGGTTATTTTATTTTTATTTAATAAGAAGTGATCACCCGAGTTAACTGTCATTAATATCAGTTAAAAATTCTGATATAATCATATTTGGTCTATTATTTACATATTCTCGATTTAGTCATGCTTTTAATAAATTAAAATAAATTTAATCCTCTAATCAAGTGATGTCACATGTCATGCCACGTAAGGGTGAGCATTCAATTGAGCCGAGTCGAATAAAAAAAATTCGAGTTTACAAGTCCTATTTTACAACTCGGAGTTGACTTAGAATTTTTTCAAGTCGAGTCGAGTCAAATTTTTGAATTTCTGTTTAAATTTAATTATAAATATTTATAATATTATAATATTATTTGATTCCGATTTAAATGATTTTATAACCATATACAATACATGTGTATTTTTCATATTTTTTTCGTATGTGATATACATTTATGATACAAAGTCGAGAGACTAAACTCAAACTTGAAAATTAATACACTAATTACTAAAATTTTTGAGTTATTCAAGTTATATTTTATAACTCAGTTTGAACTTTACATTTTTTTAGTAGAGTTTATGAAATTATGGATCAAAGTAAATTCGAGTCATGTTTTCGAGAGTTGAGTCGAAAAAATCGGTTCTTCGAGTTGAGTCAAATTTCGCTCACCCCTAATGCAACATGTCACGTTCGGTTGGAGGATTAACTTTCATAAACCCGACTCGACTTAAAAAAAATTCAATTTCAAACCAAGTTGCAAAATGCAACTCGAATAACTCAAAAAATTTTAGTAATTAGTGAATTGGTTTTCAAGTTTGAGTTGAGTCTCTCGACTTTGTATATCACATATGAAAAAAATATGAAGAAATACACATGTATAGTTTATGGTTATAAATGATCATTTAAATTGGAATCAAATAATATCGTAATAGTATAAATATTTATAATTAAATTTAAACAGAAACTTGAAAATTTGACTCGACTCGAAAATTTCTAAGTCAACTCCGAGTTGTAAATTATGATTAAATTGATTTTAATTTATTAAAAGTAAAACTAAATTGAGAGAATATATAAATAAAAAGGATTAAATGTATGATAATATCAAAATATTTAACTATTGTTAACTGCAGTTAACTCGGAGTGACTACATCTTAATTAAATAAAAACGAAAGTGATATATTATGTTTTTGAAATCGGTAACTAAAAATAGATAAAGCATAAATATAAGTGACTTTACACGTAGTTAACCCTTTTTTTCCTTTTAAAATTAAAAAAATATAATCTTTTGTCAAAATCTTTGTAAAAAAAAACAGAAAACAGTTCATTTAAGTTTCAAATTATTTATTTGTTTTGACGGAGAAAATCCGAGATTCAAATTATTATCATTCACTATATTTATTATTTATTTAATGTTTAAATTTTAATTTATTATACAACTTAAAATTTGTAGTCAAATCAATAAAGTTCATTTAAAAACTTAAAATCGACATTAACTTGAAATTTGAATATTGGCATTCAAATTGAATTTGTTCATATTTAATAATTAATACTTAAACTTGATCTAAAATGATAAAGTTGACTTAATTAAGTTTAATTTATATTTTTCCTAGTAAATTCTTAATACTCGTAATCGAGTTTAAACAAGTTTATTAAGCCACGGAACATAAAGATAGTCTTTTATCTTCAGCTAAACAATTTGCTTCATTCTTTTCATAACCGTTTATTGTAGTTAAATCATTTGATGTCAATACATATGTGTGAGTTGTTTTTTAATTAGTACAAACACAGAAAATGAATTTTATATTTTCGGAGAATAATCTTTGGAAATTTACAGTTTCATATCGGTTAAGATTTTTGGATAGATCCTCTATTTATTGAAGTTCCTAAAGAGTTTGTATCCTCCAAACAAATATATTCGAGTCAATTATATTATATAGACAATACCTATGACAGATCTACATGATCTATCAGAGTAAAATCTAAAATTTGACTACACGATTTAGTTTGCTCTTTAGTATACATATAATCATGCTTATCCTATAATTGACGCCGCTAGAAAGGATCACTACAAACATGCCTAAACCAAACTGATAAGGAGACCAAACCTTCAACAACCTACATACAATCTTTCTTATGATTGTGGCTCTCTATCTTATCAGAAAGGGTGAGTTGTCAATAGCCGACGAGATAAATTCATCCTTATCAACAATTGATGCAATTAACGTGGATAAATCACAAAATTAATTTTCATGATTAATATTAATTTTCATATGTTTCGTGTCACACGATAAAATTAATATTAATATTTTTTGAATAGTTTAGAGTAATTAAGGTAATTCATAAGCTTGTTTAGGGTGGGAATGTGTCCACTTTGAAATCTAAATTTTTTAATATTAGTTATATGTTGATGTCCATCCTGAAAATTATTTTGTGTCTATCAAATAATTATGTTATTAATATATATGTACCCACTTTAAAAACATATTTTTGGATCTATTACTGCTATTACTAATTGACAACGAATAAACACTATAGATGCAATTACTCGAACTTAAAACCTAAAAAACACTAAATAAGTTTGAGAATAATAATTTTAAACTATGATAATTAATTTATCTGAATTAGTTAGAGAGAAACAAAACTTCTAAGAATCAACATGATAATAATTGTGTTTGAGCTAATATAATTTATAAATTTGAAAATTAAATTTATTGAATTATTTAGAATAAAAATTAAGTTAATATAATAGTAAAAAAATTAAAAATATTATTATGTCAATAAAAGTAAAAAAAATGCTAATAATTCTTTAGAGATATATACTTAAAATAATTTATTACTTTAACAAATTATAAAATAATCTGTTTTTTAGCATTAATGATGAAATAAATAATAGTAACTTTGTAACAAAAACTGAAACACATTGGATGATCAACCACGAAATCTGCCCTTAATTCTTTCAACAAGTGGAAGCAATTAATCTTATTTAGGTCTTCCTAGGGAGAAGACAAAACCCACTTGTGAAATGTAACAATAGAAAACGCAGACAAGGCTAAGTTAAGTAAATGCATAATTGCTTCCATTACTCCGTAATTTGTGGGTCAAGAATCAAGATGGAGACGTACACTAGGGTTTGAACGACACTTAATTCTTCAACAAGCAAAACTGCACAATTCCCCAATTCATAATTTTAATTGTGTTTATATCATTGCACTTCCTATATAATATATACTGTTATTATATAGTTTCACATTTTTTTTACTTATACCACACAATTGGTCTGATCAAGTAACATAATTCATGGAAAAGAAAAGAAAAAGTAACATTTCAAACAAATAACCTATGGAAGAATTCCATTTTGTTACACTTTTTAACAAACTTCATATATACATTACATTCATATTAAAATTATTAATATTAATATTATATTTTCTTCGTGATTCACAGAATTTTTCAGAGTTTCTCAATTTTTTATAGTTTTATATTCTTCGATCAATTATGACCTCATGATATGATTAATTGTAGTCCATATGATCATTTGACAATAAAGTCTATTTGTTCTACCTACCTACAAATAGTAATTATGAGCTACATATGGTACCAACACTATATGTCAATATTTAAGTTCCTATGACAGGTAAAAAGGGTGCTTCTTCTTCATTTTTGCTCCTTTATATTCTTTTCTATCTCGTTATTGCTAATATTATCGATCAATTATCGTTCAATTATCGACATCGATTCTCGGTCTAAACTAAAAAGTTATGCATATTCTTTTATCAATTAATTTTTTTTCAATCCATCGTGCAAACAGTAATTAATTCCACTATATGGTACCAACATGGAATTCCTCAAATCTAGAGAAACTTAAATTTCAAGAATCCTCTTCAAGATTTAACTCATATCAAATCACCCATGAATTTCAGACCCATTGTAATTTTCAGCTTTCCACTCTAAACCCAATGTCTTCTTCAACTCTGTTTCCTCGAAAACATCAAAATCTATCTCTTGGAGCTTCTTGCATATCAATAGCAATTTCAACCATTTTGGTCTTGTTCTATACAATTTTGTATAGCCAGAAATGCAGCCAATCTTTTGGTTCATTTAATGAATTCAAATGGTCATCTTCAACAGATGATACAAATTCCGCTACAAATATAAGCCACATCAAGTTCATATTAGCCAGTTCCCAGAAAACATTGAAATCCAGAAAACCATACATAGAGTCCTGGTGGCAGCCAAATAGAACAAGAGGAAACATTTTCTTGGACTCACCTCCCCCAAAAGATTTCCTCCCTTGGCCTTCATCTTACCCTCCATTCCAAGTCAATGAAGAAGTCAAGAAATTAAGGGTATACCCTAAACTCGTTGTTCCGGCCGCAGTCCGCCTGTTCCGTTCAATCCTCGAAACGTTCCGGCTCGGGGACGACGAGGGCGTGAGGTGGTACGTTATGGGAGATGATGACACTGTGTTTTTTGTTGAGAATTTGGTTGAGGTACTAGGGAAGTACGATGAGAGTAAACACTATTACATCGGGATGACATCAGAGGCGGTTAAGTCGAATTTCGATTTCTCATTCGATATGGCGTATGGTGGAGCTGGTTATGCTTTGAGCTACTCGTTGGTGAAGACATTGGTTCCGGTCATCGATGATTGTATTGAGAGGTATCTTTATTTGCGTGTCAGCGATCAATTGTTGTCTTTTTGTTTGGCTGATTTAGGCGTTGATCTCACCACTCAAAAGGGTTTTCACCAGGTAATCTAAATTCTCTCCTAATCGATCCGTTCTAAATATACATTTTGATTCATATTTTATTTTTCGGACATTTGATCCTTAACATTTAATTTTAATATAAAAATACCATACATTTAATTGAATAATCATTTTAATTATTTTTTGAGTATTTGACCTCAATATTTTATTTTAAGGTAAAACAATTATATTTTAAAGCATTTTTAGTTTGTTGGCTAACAATTTTTATCATTTGATGGACTCTTTACCCTAAAATTAAATCTTAACAATAAATATAATAAATATAATGACAAAAAATAGTTCTCAACATTTGCATAAATGATTATTTTGTCCCTATTCTTTTTCTATTTAAGTGTTCAAGCTCTAACATTTCAATTTTGATCAAAATAACCCATGTTCGATAGAAACTATTAATTTACTAATCGACAACAAATTTTGTTGATATGATATTTTCACATGTTTTAATTGATGCCTTGACATGTTACATCATCGAAATGTTGATGTGATATGTACCACATTAGGTAAAATAATGAACCCAATATAAATTAACCAAAGTTTCATACGAATTAATTTGGAAAACGCAGATCGATCTTCTGGGTGACATATCAGGCCTGCTATCATCACATCCACAATCACATGTTCTCTCGCTTCACCATCTTGATGGCATAAACCCAATATTCCCTTCCAAGAACCAATACGAATCGATAAATCATTTGATGAAAGCTGCGAAATTCGACCAGTCTCGTCTACTACAACAAACGATATGCTACCACAAGCCGACCAACTGGTCTTTCACGCTCGCATGGGGTTACTCGGCTCATGTTTATGAAACCATGATGCCTCGAAGTTTTCTAAGGAGACCACTCGAGACGTTTCAGCCTTTCAAGAAATCAGCTAGGCCTCCCTTGTACATGTTCAACACGCGGTGGCCTTGGGCGGATCCCAGCTGCCAAGCTGCCCATAGCTTCTTCTTGGATTTTGTGGAAAGAAGCGGCGAAGATTTTATTAATACCACGTATAGACGAGCGTCGCCGCGTAATCTACCGCCGTGTTCGGCGAGTGGGAACCATTCAGCGGAGCATATTGAGTACATTAGGGTTGTTTTGCAGGCGACGAGGCGCAAGCAGGTTAATCCCTCCTCCATTTCAACTCCTGGTTTTTATTTATTTATTTGTCTTCTTATTGAATCAAGTAGGACTGAGCAAGGGAAAAAAAAATATCCGAACCTTACTACGCGATTTGAATTTGTTCAAATTTTTTATTTTACTATTCGATTTCAATTAGATTTAAACATTTAATTTTATCATATAATTAGATTTTAATTTTTTAAAATATACATGTTTCAATTAAATTATATTTAAAAAAATAATTCAAATCAAATTCATTTTAAATTGATTATAAGATATATTTAAATAAATAAACTTCTAAATTAATATGATATTTGAAAAAAAAATTTAATCTGAACCATTATTAATGTATTTGATTTGATTTGATTTCGATTTTTCTCATCACGCGTTAATAAATTCCTAACATAAATCTTTAAATTTATATTTTTTAACAGAAAATTTTATATTATTCTAGATGATAATGAGTATGAACTTATAATACTTGTCTTAATAAAGAAAATAAAGAAACAGTGTTAATATATAAAGAAGTTAAGAAAATAAAGAAAATGTCGATTAACAATAATACTTGTCTTAATTAATGACAGGAAGCAAAAGTAGAATGTTGCGACGTGGAGTACGTGAATGATTCAAATGTTACAGATGTGAAGTTGAGGCCTTGTATCAACGGTGAAGTTATCGCCTAAGCCCGTAAATTATTCCAAGTGTTAACTTTATCAATAATAAAATAAGCATTTAACTTATTACAAGTTTAATTTGACACTATTTTTATTTTATGTTTGGTACAATAGAAAATTAAAAAATCAAAGCGGAGAAAAGAAAGTTAAAAAGAAAATAAATGTAAGTTATGTTTGGTAGAAAAAAAACACAGGAAGGAAAGAAATTAACTTAGAAAAAAATAGACTTAATACATTTTTAAAGTATAAACTATTCCTTAAAATACGATTTGGTGCTTAAAGAATATTTTGCTAACATTAGATGTCTAACGTTTTCAACGTTACACTTTTATATGCCTGGACCATAATGACTATTAAATTTGACCGTTATCTGACATATGTCACACATATAAGATTTTAAAAATTATTTTATTTAAAAATCTTAATATTATAATTTTAAATTAAAAAAATTAAAAAAACCTCCAAATTTTACATCTTTCAATGTCGATCACTCACTGTCGATCCGTGGCCTTCACCGTTGACACAATCAAAACCGTATCGCTGCCGCAACCAGAACCTAGTCTCCAACCCAGTGTGAAACTGCACTAATCGTCGTAAAACTGCGAAGGGTCACCAAATTTCTAGTTTTTTCGTTGCTGTTTTTTTCGGCAATTTCGATGGCTACAACCGTCCGTACGCTACACGATCATCACCATTAAGTTTTCGTCCTGCTCTAAACAAAATCGACCAGCGGTGACTCTTCGCAGTCGAAGATGGGGGATAAGAGGGATAGACGACATGGGACAACTTGAATTTTTTATTTTTATTTAAAAACAATAATTTTATTATTAAAAACTAAAAAAATCAAAAACTTATAACGGTAACCACCTAAAAATGTAACGGAGAAAACGTTAAATACCTATTGATAGCAAAAAAGAAAAATCTTTAAACACCAAACCATATTTTGAGATATGATTTAAACATTAAAAAATATATTAAGCCCAAAAATTGTAATCTTCCGTGCAGTTGAAGTAAATCACAATTTACATATTTTGAACTTCATAAATTCTTAGAAATGTTTTTATCTTTTTCGATATCAATGATAAATTTAAAAATATTTTTAAAAGTGAACATATATATATATAACAAATAATTAATAAAATAAATATATAACTATTTGAGAAAAAATAAATTTAAAAACAAATACATATTTTCTCTTACTTGACTGTGACTCCGTCGCTGCCTAAGGTAAAATCTGTCCAACACAATGCCAAAATATTTCTCATATTTTATGCATTTAGATAATGTTAATAGTTGAAATATAATTTATATCACGAAAGTACAAAATATAATTTCTTTTCATATAATTTTATAACATTTTAGGTAATTATCTAAGAAGATTACAAATATTGTAATACTTTATTTAATAGCATAATGTGTTTTTTTAAGTGGAATAAAATCATAATATTTTAAGTAATATGTTTTAATTTTGAGTTTTTTTTTCTTTTTCGAGAACCCAGATAATATCTTCTGTAATCATGAAGACATTACAAGATATATAATAGCTTTTTTAATATGATAATATTATGTGTTATTGAATAAAATATTACGTGTGGTAATAATTTGTGGATTTGTGTAATATTCTATATTAATTTAGTGGTCCTCCAACTATAGATATTACTCTATTGAGTCTTTTGACTATTAAAAGTTATAAAACGATCCCCTAACTCTAGGTGCTATTTTGTTGAGTCCTTCGATTATTAAAAGTTACAAAATGATCACCAGATTATTCATATGTTGCAAACTCAGATTATTCATATGTTGCAAACTCGTCATTTTTCGTTAAAAAAATTAACGTTCTCCTGAACTGTATATGTCAAAGTGTTATAAAAAATTAATCGATATCGGGGGTTTTAAAAAAAGTTGTCTCGATGGTTTCTTTTTTAAAATAAAAAACGGTTCGACGAGTCGCCACCAATCTTTGATTAGGGTGTGATTGAGCACCCCAAAAAATGGCCAAAACCTCATTTAATTAATTAGTTGCCTTTGCAATGAAACTTATAAATTCGAATATAATTTAATTTGAGATCCCCTTAAAAACACATAAAAATATCACTTGAATTTAGGAAAGGAAAATAATAATATTTAATTATCTCCTACCGAAACAAAAAGATTTCTCATGACTTATAGCTGTCAGTTCATTTTCCAATTGAAATGAAGACACAACGTCTTTTCATTCATAAATTCATTATAAATTCATATTTCAAATGCATGCAATAGAATAAAATTAATAAAATAAATTAACTATCTATTACAGATCCTTTAGAAAGAATAAGGATGTTCAATTATTTAAAGACGTTAATATCAGACCTTTTATACGTTCTAACGATCATTTCTCAGTGAATTTAAATAGACGAACATTCTTTTTCTCCCTCTTTCCCAAATTTTAAGTAAGATCATTTTTTAGGGTTTCACTTGGTAAGATACCCCTCCATTTTAAAATCTTTGGAAATGACTTTCTTATACCTTAAGACAATCACTCCACAACAATTATAAAATACAAAAAACATAATATAAAGTCCACAATGAAAAATATTTAAAATACATGAAATGAATAAATTGAAATATTTAAATATAGAGCTAAAATTAAAACATCAAATAAAAGGACTGAAATAAAATAAAACAGAATATAAAGTCTACAATAAAAAATGCAGAAAATTAACGTGCTGGAATTTAAAGGATTTAAATGTAAATTTTGGAAATTTATAAGACAGAAATTAAAATATAGAAAATTAAAGGGGTGAAATGTACATACAAAATATTAATTTTTTTTGACGGCGGATGAGAAAACGGAATTAAAACGTAAATTTTAAAGAAGTTTAATGACCAAATCGAAACTATGAAAACAAGAGAGTCACTAAGTACATAGTTCACCCTAAAGAAATATTAGTAACCCACAAGGTAAGTTTTCAAACCAGTGTTTTGAAAACCGGACCGGTTCAACCGGTCTAACCGAGAACCGTTGCCTGGTCCGGTTCATTCTACACCGGTTAAACCGCTACTAGTGAACCGGAAGGAACCGCTGAACCGACTGTGAACCGTTTGAACCGGACTGGACCGTGAACCGGTTGAAAACCAATATTCTGTTTTTTTTTCTAAAAAAAATTTAAATCAAACGACGTCGTTTGTTAAATGAGCCGAGTCGAACTCGAGTATTGTTGAGCTCGAGTCGAACTCGAGTATTGTTGAGCTCGACTCGAACTCGAGTATTGCTGAGCTCGACTCGAACTCGAAAACTTTAAAAGTAAGCTCAACTCGACTCAAAAACTCACGAGCTAAAAATTATAAAGTTCAACTCGAACTCGAAATATAATATTGAAACTTGAACTCAAAAAGGCTTGAACTCAAAAAAGTTTTAGAAACTCGATTGAAGCCTGAAATTCGAGCTCGATTGAAGCGAAAGAATAGTTCGCTCTGTGCTCACCAAAAGGCTCCATGATTTTGAATGCCAAATTACCTCTATTATTTATAGAAGTCAGTTGGGATGCTCTTCTATGTTTCTTAGCCATGTGAGATTGTTTTGTTTTCATATTTTTACTATTTAGATTTTGTGATGTTCTTCTATGTTTCTTAGCCATGTGAGATTGTTTAAAAAAAATTAAACCAAACGACATTATTTGTTATGATTTTTTTAGCCCCAAATTTATTTTTTGATTATAGTTATATAATTATATTTATTATTTAATATGTTTTACCTTAAATATTATGTTGTAGTTTATTTGAATCATTTTGTTTCACTTGATTTTATGGTTTTTAACTTATATATATGTTATGACTTGCTTTGAATATAACTTGTGATATAAAAAACTGTTTTTATTAAATGTTTTTGGTATTTTTATTTAATTTTTTTAAATAATTAATTAATTATGACGTCGTCCGGTTCTTCCGACCGGTCTGACCGATTCGACCGGTTGAACCAGTGAACCGGTAGCACACCCGTTCGCTGACCGGTCCGATTCTGAAAACCATGTTTCAAACATTAATGACGGAAATGGAATGTACATGCTTGAATTCGTCAACCCGGGACTTCCCAAAATCCAACCATCAAAGCGAGTGTTGGAGGAAAAAGGTCGCTATCGGAAACGAAGATAAGAAAATGATGCAATTCCCAGCCACAAAACAGACCAAGAATTAAACCCCAAAAAAGGAAAAGAGAGAAGCAACCGAAAATGTGCAGCAGTGGAGTAGGAAAGACGGTGTGTGTTACAGGAGCCTCTGGTTTCATCGCATCATGGCTTGTTAAGCCGCTTCTACTTGGTGGTTACACCGTCAAAGCCTCAGTTCGTGACCTCAGTGAGTTTGTTTTTCCATTACCATCTCAATTCCGATGCTCGTAAGTGATGTTTCAATGGTTAATAATTTTATCAAATAGATGATCCAAGAAAGACACAACACTTCCTTGCATTTGAAGGTGCAGAGAACCGGCTGAAGCTGTTTCAATCAAACCTGTTAAAAGAGGGTTCATTTGATCATGTTGTTGAAGGCTGTGAAGGTGTTTTCCACACAGCTTCGCCCTTCTATTTTGATGTCGTGGATCCACAGGTTGATCCCCAATTCTTTTATGCGATTAATATGTAATATATGTTGAAAATTTTTAACGATTAATAACACATATATCATGTACGTACATACGTCTGTTTGAAGTTAAGATTCTTAGAAAGAATCACTCTCTCTTTAACCATTGAATTCACTTAAGATTAGGTATAACGATAAATTTATTCCTTGGCATTTATATTTATACAAATGATTATTTCAGTTTATATTCCTTTTCTTTAAGTATTTTAGTCTCTGACGTTGTTAAGAATAAAGAAGTTAGTATTGTTTGTATAGTTAGGAGCCAGTTAAAAAATTGGTTATAAGCAGTTGCATTGTAGTTAGCTTTCTTGTAGCACTATATAAACATTTGTACGTTCACAATGTTTTTTTGCAAGGTGATTTACTTGAGGAAGTTTACATGGAGTTGCCTCAAG